TTAAACCAGCAAAGGACCAGTTTAAACCAGCAAAGGACCAGTTTAAACCAGCAAAGGACCAGTTTAAACCAGCAAAGGACCAGTTTAAACCAGCAAAGGACCAGTTTAAACCAGCAAAGGACCAGTTTAAACCAGCAAAGGACCAGTTTAAACCAGCAAAGGACCAGTTTAAACCAGCAAAGGACCAGTTTAAACCAGCAAAGGACCAGTTTAAACCAGCAAAGGACCAGTTTAAACCAGCAAAGGACCAGTTTAAACCAGCAAAGGACCAGTTTAAACCAGCAAAGGACCAGTTTAAACCAGCAAAGGACCAGTTTAAACCAGCAAAGGACCAGTTTAAACCAGCAAAGGACCAGTTTAAACCAGCAAAGGACCAGTTTAAACCAGCAAAGGACCAGTTTAAACCAGCAAAGGACCAGTTTAAACCAGCAAAGGACCAGTTTAAACCAGCAAAGGACCAGTTTAAACCAGCAAAGGACCAGTTTAAACCAGCAAAGGACCAGTTTAAACCAGCAAAGGACCAGTTTAAACCAGCAAAGGACCAGTTTAAACCAGCAAAGGACCAGTTTAAACCAGCAAAGGACCAGTTTAAACCAGCAAAGGACCAGTTTAAACCAGCAAAGGACCAGTTTAAACCAGCAAAGGACCAGTTTAAACCAGCAAAGGACCAGTTTAAACCAGCAAAGGACCAGTTTAAACCAGCAAAGGACCAGCATAAACCAGCATCCCAGCGTCAAAACATACCTAACCTGCATATGCTAGTTTTTTCAACAGGGGTACAGGGCTTGTTTTGTTTGTTTTATGTGTCATTAAAATGGTTAAACTAATCCGAGATCAGACAGGTAAACAACATAGACACTGGGGTTATTAGTATACTGTACTGGAGTCTGGTAGGCTACAGAATATAATATAATACAGTGCGGTAGGCTATGGCTGTCAAGTTCTCAGTATTTTTTTGGCGCTGGCGCATTGGAACTAATTTAGCTGACGGAGCAGATGTAGGCTATACAAAATAACTGACCATATTCTGTCTAACATGTAAGTTATTCGATATTAACTTTTTTCTCTCTCTCGAACTGTTGTATAAAAACAGTGTCACAATCTTGTTGCCGGCACCATCAATGGCAGCAGAGATTATACATTTATTTAGCAAGCTTCTGGAATACTTTGAGAAACTAAATAACCTTTCAGACTTGAGAAAAACATAACAATACAACCTCTGAGGAACATAATTTCTGCAGAGCTTGTTGACATTTAGTATTAGTTGACGATTCATTATTTTCGGAGACGATCGACATCGGGACGCATGAATATTTGAATTAAAAGCGTGTACTCTTCAATAAAATTCTAGTGCATTTAATCTATTTAGGGTACATCTCAGTTGATTCTCAATTTATTATTGTACAAACAGAGGCTCATATACATACTTGAGAACTGGTATGAAGTGGTTTAATCGAGGAACAGACAGTTTTTTCCCCATTAGTTATCAGAACAGAAAATACAAGTGACAAAAGTATGTTTATCAAGCAAATAACGGTTCAGTCTTGCAATTAAGAGCTATGTAAGCATTAATATTTTACATTGACCACTTACAATCTTTTATGATTTAGCTCTCTCATGATTATAACTACAAAACTAGCCCTATGAAAAAGTGTAAGATAATAATCAGTCCCCTTGACTGATGGTTAATACGCATGCGCAGGCAAACGCTCAAGCGCGTCACACACGATCCGCCTACTCTTGCATAATTGACACCCTCTCATTAACATGTTGCGCAGAGGAAAAATAAATGCGGAACTACATTCAGAAATAAATGAGTGATCAAAGGAAAATAGTTAGGATGAGTTTAGCATTTCCTTAAACATTTTCCATTTGCCCACCAATTTATATGATTTATTTGCCTACTTTCATCACATGTATAATTATTTATTTATGTATTTAAACAAGAATACGTGTATTTATGCACACATTTATTTATTTATTTATTGTTTTTGCAGGTCTCGCCCTCCATACATTTTCAGCGGTGGGTACACGCAATGTTATTTTATCCTTGCTTATAGAAAATCCTAACAGCTTCATATGTGGCATGGTTTTAAGCACTATGCATCATTAAAGTTTCACTTTCACCGCGACTAAGCCGGTAAATGTGGTGTTTACATGGAATAATTGTGATATGAGTTTACCTTATGGTACAAACCCAGTCTCTGTAGCAGTAGGAAAGCGATAAAATGATCGAGCACCTTCCATCTGACTATTAATTATTTTTTTCTACAATTAATTGTACTACAATTGGAAAATACTGTAAATTGATAAACTGCTCGACGTGATGTTTAATGTCTCTGACGGTGCCATGTAGTCTCATTTAGCAACTTGGTACCGTCTTTTTAAAGAAACATAACAGTTAAAAAAAAAAATCAGAAGTGGGGTGTAACTGGTGTGTTTTATGTCGTAGAATAAAACGTGAAAGTATCTTGAGCTTGTGTGAACCACGGACCTTATTTTAGGGCATTTAACCAAACTCCCATTCAAAAAAACCCCCCACTGACTCTGGGACCAGTGTTGCCAACTAGTTTTCAGGGGAAGTTGCTAAAAGAAGTTCGATTTGTTGCTAAAAGACGTTGTGATGTAATGCAAAATTGTGTCGCTACATTAAAAAAATACATATTTTTATGTTAATTTAGATTTGTTCGTAAAATAATATAAATGCATAATATAATGTTAAAATATAAATAACTTTTTCTATGTACAACATTGAATACTTACACACTTTTGAGCGATCACAAGTGTTTTTATTAGCTAGTGAACTAGTAAAACCACACATTCTGAACTATTATAGTTTTAAGCAGTGTATTAGTAGTCAGTACGCTACTCTCTAAGAAAAGAATTCACAGGTTTTAACCTGCACTTGAAATTATGCAGTGTATTTTGTGTTTCGGGTTACAACGGATGACGGATAACGGATAATGTCCTGGAAAATTACTAGTACCTTTTTCTAGATATTTTTCTTACAGTGTACTAACTGATCAACAATCACAGGTACAAGCTGCTAACGAGGTGTATCATAAATGAACAATTATTCAATTATTATTATCACATTGAACAATTGCAAATAGCAGTAACTTAATTCACGTGATGCGTGTACTGCTAAGCATCTTTGGTTTCCTCTTTTTGTGAAATTTAGATGGAAAATGTGAGCCTTTTTATTGTTTGAGCCACTTATCAAAAGTTGCTAAAAGTAGCCAAATAAAATTTTAATATAGCTAAATTTGTTGCTAGGTGCTTTTGGAAGAAAAAGTTGCTAGGGTAGTCTGAAAAGTTGCTAAGTTGGCAACACTGTCTGGGACGATGGAACCGGAAGTGCTCAAATGCTAACTCCCTTCCGGGTTTTTGCCAACGGAAGTGACGCCGGCTATTTTGAAAATGCAGTCGCAGGAAAAAATACAGAGCCGCGGGTTGTGGTTGTTTTACTTTTATAATGTACTGCGGCCGCCTAAAGTTTATCTATAGTCAAATCAAAATCGCAAAATGTATAGTGCAGAGATGGACTATTAGGTGAGTTTCACCCACAGCAGAAATAATCACGACAACAGCCAGTCAAAGCGCGTCTCTTGCATGCTCTGCGAGTCTCTGTTCTCACAAACTCAAACTCACAGGTGAAGCTCATGGTGATTTCAGCGTCTGTGTCACCCTAACACATGAACTTCATCGCTCTAGCCACCTTTTTCTTGTTGTAAACATGGGCGCGGCCATTTGTAAATTCTACGGGTCTGACTTCCGGTCTCATCCGCGTCCAGCTATTTTTAGCTGTACAAAACAGTTCGTTTTGCGGCTTGATATTGAAAATGGGTGTGTCTTACCATATTATTTCAGTGTATTATCTTAATTGTGAACACACTGGTTTGTAGTGCAAACAGTTTTACCGTTTACTGCACGTTGTTATTCTCCTCGTTATTTACCTACAGCGGCTAATGAACCGGAAGTCTCGCCCATAGGCTTACTTCCGCTTTGAAGAAAAAGGTGGATAGAGCAAACGTGAAGAAACTTTAAACAGAAACATATTACTACGATGTACTTCTGTACAAAGTAATAATGCTATTACTGATATTTTTCAACAGTGTTATGTTTTATCAAACATAAGGTTTTGACATGCAGCATCTTATTTGACAAAAAAAATAAAAATGCAATGTTGTGTTGTAAATTAATTGTTATACATGATCTTATATTTTTAAGATTAATTAAATTGTGAACGTTTTATTAATCCATTTGATTTGCTTTTTGATGATACATTTGTGTTATCATAAAATACAAAAGAAATAAAATGGAAAACACAGGATTTAGGGGAAAATAAAATGGATTTCATGGGGCCCAAAATTAAAAGGTGGCTTAAAGGAGTTAAAGTTATGTTTGCATTCATTCTCAAGGTCTAACAAACACGTGGGGAGCATTTCCTTTCATGTTAATGGTAAGTTAATATTGTCAAAAACAAAATAGTCGCCATATCGCCCAGCCCTGATTTTCAAATTTATAATGAAAAGTACTGAAAATTAAAATGTGATTTTTTAAAATTGAAAATCAATAATTAAAAATGCACATGCTACATATAAACAAGTCTCGCTCAATTAAAAAAAACCATAATAATAAATGAAATTAAAAGGTTTAATTTAAAGTGCGTTAATGGAACAAAGCAGCTGTCAACTGTGTTTGCACGGGGCGAAAATTGGGCTAGTTTCCATTCGTTTTGGACGGGTGTTGAGCTATAAGCCTTGGGCTGGATTTCTTTCGGGGACCTGGCAACCCTGGCGGCGTTATGCGCTCGTGAATTAATAAACAATATAATAAATGAAATTAAAAGGTTTATTTTAAAGTGCGTTAATGGAATAAAGCAGCTGTCAACTGTGTTTGGACGGGGCGAAAATTGGGCTAGTTTCCATTCTTTTTGGACGGGTGTTGAGATGTAAGCTTTGGGTCTGATTTCTTTCGGGGACCTGGCAACCCTGGCGGCGTTATGCGCTCGTGAATTAATAAACAATTCAAGATGGCGCCGTGTATAGCGTTGGCTGGCCGTCGCTCTGTGTTGTCTATTTCATTGGTTCTGCTTTTATGTGTATGTTTCATTAACCCGAACTACTCTCTTTGGACTTACTGCAAAACTTTGCTTCACATTCGCGCAGTGATGGCAGATGTCACTCCGAGCGGAGAATGTTGTTTACCCCCGAAGCGGACTCGGAATCGGACTAACCGCCGGCGAAAGCGTGGCAACCGGGCTGGAGTCGCCGTGAAAGCTAGAGCCGCGGAGCTGCTTGAAATACAGCAGTTGGCTCGAGGAAGCAAGCCTCCGAGAGGAGTACTTCTCAGCAATCTGAGCTATATCGAATCGGATGTGGTCTCGAATGGAACTTCATCGCCCCCGTTGGAGTCTGGTACAGTAACAATGTCACTGGTTAATGCAAGATCACTATAAAATAAGGCGTTTGTTTTCAATGACTTTTTTTTTTTTTTTAGACAACATGATTTGGATTTTGTTTACTTCTGAAACCTGGCTTAAAGGGATAGTTCTCCCCCCCAAAAAATGAAAATTCTGTCATTAATTGCTCACCCTCATGTCGTTCCAACGGCGCGTCAAACCAAAAATACGAGCCCTAGGCGTTTTTAAAAAAATTACGCTTTTACGCGTCGCTGTGCACACTCCCATTGGCGCCCTTTGTTTAGTCACGAGGCGTTAAACGTCGGCGATAAATCGCGCGCGATATTCGTCCCGGTGTGAACAAGCCTTAACTCATGCACTCTCTATTCTAATTCCATTCTTTAAAAAAAATCTTGTCCCTTTTAGACTTGCATTCGATTCATTTACTAACTGCTTGTTTTCTTGAAAAAAAAAAAGAAGAACACTAGCTTCTGTAATCTTTTTGTATTTTATCTATTTGTTTTCTTTTTATTTATTATAAAATTAACAAATGCAAAAAAAAGTCTTAACACTAGCTTGCTCTATTCTTTTCCTATTCTATCTGTTTTCTTTTTATTTATTATATAATTAAAGAAAAAACTTACTATGTGTACTGCGTTACGCTAACTGAGACTTGTTATAGCACTTGCGTATCATTGCTCTTTTATTGATTTTGATTGCTTCCATTGTCCTAATTTGTAAGTCGCTTTGGATAAAAGCATCTGCTAAATGACTAAGTGTAAATGAATAATTGGTTGAAACTTTCAAAAACAACTGTGAAGTGTTTGCCAACCATCGCTGTTACTATCTCTCATATTTAGGGATTTGAACCAAGAATTAATAGAATAGTTCACCCAAAAGTGATAATTAGCTGAAAATGTCCTCACCCTCAGACTGTCCTAAATGAAGATGAGCTTGTTCCTTCATCAGATTTGGAAAAATGTAGCATTGCATCACTTTCTCACCAGTGGATGCTCTGCAGTGAATGGGTGCCGTCAGAATGAGAGTCCAAACAGCTGATAGAAACATCACAATAATCCTCAAGTAATCAATTAACATCATGTGAAGGCAAAAGCTGCATGTTTGTAAGAAACAAATCCATCATCAATGCATTTTTAACTTGGATAGAGAGTCTTCTATACATGATGTTTTCTCCAGTGAAAAAGTGGTCTGGTCTGAATCTCGAGAGAAATCTGCACAGATCAAGCATCGTTTACAAGCAAAAACAGTCCAAACAGCTCTAAACAAATATGTGGATGGATTTTGATGTGAGAGACAACAGCAGATGGACTTTTCCACTGGAGGATTTATGGATTCATATGGTCTCATCTTTTGGCCAGAAGCAACCGTATAAAGTTAAAACACCTGGGTTTGTTTCTAACATGCAGTTTTTTGCTTCACAAGATGTTAACTGATGGACTGGAGTGGATTACTTGAGGATTATTGTGATGTTTCTATCAGCTGTTTGGACTCTCATTCTGACGGCACCCATTCACTGCAGA